TTATTTTCGAGGATTAAATATCATTTTTTATTCAATTTTACATATATGAATTAAATTAATTTGGGTTCTATCAACTGCTACTAAATTGGATTCGACCCGAGATCGGAAAAACATAAAAATTATAAGTACAACCATTGTGTCATCGTATTATTCGAATATCAGATATTTATGAATGTTATGCAAATAACTCCGATTAAAAATATAATTATCTAATAAAAATCTAAATGAACCATATAGTTATTTACTTGTTAGGTTTTGAACAAAACCACTAAATCCAATGGCCGCAAACAAAGTAGTCACACCTAATTTTCTGCCTAAAAAACCCCAAAATAAAAATGAAATAAAAACAAAGAAATAATATTAATTTAGAGGGGAGAGGAGGCTTTTCCCAAACCCACATAAGCCGACTCATTAGTTATTTTAGGTATTAATTTTGCATTGCATTTCCGTAATAAATCTAATGAAAATTCTAATTTTAAATATCTTGAAAATATATTGTATGAATTATTCAAAGTAAATATGATTTATAGTATATCAAGAAATTTTATGGAAAAACTATAAGGACCATTGATTTCATAGATTTTGACCCGTCATCTAACTAGGTGATCATTGTGAGTGAAGACACGTGAGACCCACTTCAATTTATTATACTTTATATGACTTGGGTGTAATATATATATATATTGATTTTTTAGTACTTAAACCTATCATTTTATTATTTAAAAAATTCATGCAATTTTTTTTATAAATCGGATGTCTTGAATCAAGGTTCAAACTAATTTTAGAGTCGAAAATCAATTATATAATTTAGATTATACACTGTCTCTTCAAATTTGATGTTCGAACTTGGTTGATAGAAAATTAATATAATGTTATATGCATGGTACAATATTTTCTCACCTTTTTTCAAAATAAATTATTGAGAACGCACAGTATATACTATATAGTTTACATTCAAAGAATCAAGGAATAATTTTAGAATTTGATGTGCATGAAATCTTACTATTTTAACAACTACGATGATTCTTTTTAAAAAAAATCGCAAGTAAATGATTTTATATTCACGAATTTATGAGACGTATTTATTGTAAACTAGTTATAATATGATCAAACTGTTAGTTTTTTTATTATGTAAAAAATGTAGTGGTGGATCTAGGGGTGGGCACGGATCGGATATTCGTGATTTTTGGGATATCCGTATCCGTATCCGACCCGTTCAAATATTTGATTTTATTATCCGTATCCGATCCGTAATTTACGAATATCCGTAATTTCGGATATCCGTAAATATCGCGGATATTTGCGAATATCCATATCCGACATTAAAAATTATAAAAATTAAATTCAAATTTAAATAAAAATTTTAAATATAAAGAAAATATATAAGTTATTTAATATAAATGTTATTCACAATTTAAAATTTAAAATTTAAATATTTTAAATTAATTCAAATACAAATATAATCATAGTTTATCATATACAAATATATTGAAAGTTCAAAATTCAAAAATTAAACATAATAAATTTTAATTTTCAAAAGATTAATATTTTACATCTCAATATATATACAAAATATTTATTAAATATCTCTATAAAATAGATAAGTATAAAGCATTTTAAATTTTTATAGCAAATTATTTTATATTTAATAATATTATTAATTAGTACGGATCGGATCGGATATGTCGGATAATTCGAATTCGATATCCGTATCCGATCCGTATCCGACAAATAATTCAAAATAAATATCCGTATCCGATCCGTAACCTTCGGATATCCGAATTTTCGGTTCGGATACGGTTCGGATAACGGATCGGTTCGGTTTTTCCGGATATTATATCCACCTCTAGGTGGATGATAACATTTTGTATTTATCTTTGCCTCTACGATTTAATGGATATTTTATATTTTTTTTACTGTCCCCTTGTGGTTGACAAAATGTGAAACCCCTTCTCCCAAAAACAAAACTCATAATATATTATCTAACAAATCTGTCTGAAAATAGTATTTCTTTGGTTAATTTTTATTAAATAAATACTTTTTCTGTGTGTCTCTAAGTCGTATATTCTGGTTTATTTCATCGCAACCAATATGAAAGAAAATAACCGATCCCACAAAATTTATAATTTTCCATTATATATTTTCACAAAAAAAAATTTACTGCAATTTAAAATTGAAAGTGATACAGTGACAAGAATACTTTGGCGTTAAATTAGAAATAAAATGGGGAAAAAAATAAAGGACAAAGTCATGAAATTCATCAAAGGGAGTGTCTAACTTTGCAATTCCCACAGCCTTAAGAGAAAAAAAAACTCTTAAAGGCAGCAACTTTTCCTAAATTAATTTAATAAAAAAACAAAAGATCTTAATTATGAGTCTTGGAAAAGCTAATCAGGAAATCAATTTTGATAAATGCTTTTACTTAACCAATGATTTCATTAAGATACAGAGGTATTGACAAATGTAAAAAATAAAATACATGTATATGGTATAAAATTTGACCATATTTATATGATGTTTGAAAACAATGAAATCGCATGCTGTTGAAAGATTTTTTTATTTATGGTAGAAGTTCTATAAATAGTTTAGAGACCAAATTCTAAATCTAGTAGAATGTGGTTTTTAATATTTTAGAAAATGTATTAAAAAAATAAAAAGACTTATTTATGGCTTTTTCATTTTGGAAATTATTTAAAATTCTTTAATGGGAAACTTAATCATGGATTTCAAAGTGAAAAAGTATAATTGCAGCTCATGAAAAGAAAGTTCACTCAAGAGGTTTATCAATTCAATTGTGCTTTTGCCCAAACCCTATTAAATCAAAAAGGAAAAAAAATCAATGGGATTTCTACACACACACACACACATATATATAACCCCTGAATAATCTGAATATAAAATAATTAAAAATAGCTAAAAATAAAAATTATTTTAAATGGATGTTTTTTGAAAATTTAATTTTACACAAAAACCAAGGGGAAATTCATAATAAAATGGAAAATATCCACTCTTAACCTTTATTTTATTTTTGGTATTGAACGTAAAAAAAGGAAAGTAATTTATGCAAAATACTCTTAATATGTATTTGGGTATTTGGTGTATCGAAAGTACAAATTCACAACTCCAAAGTACAAAATTAACACGATCGTTTTATTGAAAGTACAAATCCGTGACATGGGAAATCTTGATATTGTGGTGGTTGGATTGAAGACGTGACAAAGTGGGTTTGTTTTTATTTTTCAAAACAAGGGCCGGTAATGATAATTTGTTAAGTGAAAAAAGAATGATTAAAAAGAGTAATTACACAGAATTTAAAAAATTATAAAGAAAAAGGGAGTGGAAATAATAATCAGTGTTGTCAGGCCCCGTGGGATTTTTTATTATTTTTATCTTTTTTTGGGGAATGTAAACATTTAAAAAAAATGAAAACAAAAAAAATATATAGGGCCTAGTAATTTTGAAAACTCTCCACATAAATGCTGGGATTTTGTTGCCCATAACATCAACAAATCTCATATCAACAGTGAAAAAACTTGCAATTTCTTTATATATATATATATATATATATATATACAGTGTGTATAAATAGGGTATTTTATTTTTCGATTTTGTATCCATGAAAAATAGTGGACCCAAAATAAGGGTAAATAAAAATTCCTGGAAAAAGGGTCTGATAACTTGATTGCTGTAGAGGGAAAGTATCCTCAGCTTTTGGGGGAAAAGAAAAATTAAGTCCCCACTTCTTTTTTTTTTTATTCTTTAAATTGGTGTAATGATCACTGCAATATTATAATCCCTATATCCTATTTTTTAAAATTTACGGATAAAAATGAAATGAGAACCACTTTCTATTTTTGTTATAGTTTTATAAATAAAATATTAATTTATTTCTTCAATAACTACGGCATGCCGTTAAACGTAGGAGTCAACATTTTTTTTTTCTTATAATTTTTATATTTAAAATATTTAGTTTTTTAATTAGATATTGATTTGATTCAACTTCGAAGTTATTAAAATATTGATTTTTAATTCTTCTAGATCCGTAGAATTTTTAGATTGGTTTTGAGAATGTTTTAACTTGATTGTAAAAAATAGTATCCAATTGATTTTAGATTATAATTGAAATACAATTGTTATAATTATAAATATATGGTAACTAAATGTAAATTCGGGCTCAATTCAACGTGACATGGACACGGTCATTGATAATACATATGAATATATAGGCTTGCAAAAAATATCTATGCATTGTGTGAACCAAATTGTATATATTGTATGGTACATATGAAATTATGGAGCTTTGGTTGTCCTTTGAATCGGCGGCAGCATTGGATAATTACAGACATGCGTACAAAGGAAGTGTCGTCTTCTACATTCTTTTTTCATTCACGTGTCTAAATTCTCTCACCATTTTCAAATTTTTCTTTCCTTTATTTTCTTTTCACTTTTACTTTCCTTTTTGTAAAAAAAAAAAAAAAAAGACCAAACGGTCAAAATGTTTGGGCCCATCTCGCAAGTTAATTTAGTATTATGTAATTAAGGTTGTGAATAATGTGGTGAATAAAGTAGTTAAAGTCTAATAATTACAGCATGGGGTAAAGATAATCTAAGGGGAGCTGATGTTGTCATCATTTCCCATTCAGATAATTACTGCCATCACTTTTCTTTTTTATTTTATTTTTTTCAGCTTTTCCCCCCTTTGTCCTTTAGTGCTCAGTCTAATAATTTTTTCCCCATTCACGAATAAAAGTAATTATATAAATAAAGCGAGTTAAATCGTATTTACATCTCTTCCTGACACGTGTCCTTGAAATATTGGACATGTGGCAGTTTCCCCATCTTCTATAATTTCTCCCGTGATTGAAATAAATAACAAGAATTTCGGGCTTTCTAAAATGGAAGGGTATTTGCCTGAAATTCCACGCTATTGGAAGGGACATATGCGTAATTTCAACGATTCCATTTACTGACACGTCTCTGTAAAAAGGATTCACCACTCTTAGATATGAAAAAAAAAAGGCAAAGCAATTAAAAAAAAACAATTAACCGACTCGTCCCACTAAGAAGGATACAATGGTAATTCCACAAATACGAATTCGAAATAGTTTTGTTGCCACGTAATATCCGACGTGGCATGTCCGGGCCTAGTCAGCTTCACCACGGCCTCTTCAGCTTCGGCTCTTTGCTCTTATAAGAGCACCCAACCTCCCTTTACCCACACCATCCATCCACGCCAGGAAAAAAATAATTAAAAAAAATTTCAACAATTTTCTTTCTAGATTTTTCTTCTACCTTTTATTTGCCGGCGAAGTGAATCTCCCCGGAGAAATGAAATTTCCGGTGACCTTTTCCCTTGTTTCCGCTCGTAGAATCGCCGTTTCCGATCACCGTCGTCATGTGTTCCGTGAAAACCCTCGGAGCTAAGGAAACCTGATCCGTCCCTAAACAACTTTTTCCTCCGTTTTAGTATTTTTTTTCCTTCGATTAGTGTTGTGAAGATGATCGTCTGATTGCAGAAGCCGGAATAGGTTTCTTCTCGTAGTAGCTGAGAGGTTTTGGTAGATTCTGGTTTTTTCCTTCTTCTGTGGTTACGAAGCCCAGACGATGCCAATTTTGGGATTTTGATTGTTGATTTTTGTTTCTGGAGAGAGATCTGGGGCGCTTGGAGGAGATGGAGTTGTAAATGTGCACGAATTTGTGGCGTTCTTGAGGGAGTTTGAATTTTCTGTTTCGTCTTCTGTCTACCCTCTTTGAACGAGAACTGACTTGGACCAAACCGGAGAAAGAGAGAGAGAGTCGGAGAGATATTAGATCTTCTGCTCAGTTGTCTTCTTAACTGATGCCATTTCCGATGAAGATCCAGCCGATTGACATCGATTCACCGGCGGTGAGAGAGCCAGCTCGAGCGGATTCAGGCAAACCAGTGCTCAAGTCTCGCCTCAAGCGGCTGTTTGATCGGCCGTTCACAAGCGTCTTGAGGAGCTCGACCTCAGAGAAACCCATCCCTGGCGCTGTGGAAGCTCAGTACGGCCGGGATGGAGGTGCCGCAACTGAGTTCGAGCCAAGCTCCGTTTGCTTGGCGAAGATGGTGCAGAACTTCATAGAGGAAAACAACGAGAAGCAATCCAAATGTGGCCGCAACCGCTGCAATTGCTTTATCGGGAACAACGACAGGTCCGATGACGAGCTAGATCTGTTCGGCATCGAACTCTAATCGGGGATCTCAAGTTCTAATATCAGATTTGGCTCTCTCAAGTCCTAAATCCACTATCCAATAATTTAACCTATCGATCTCTCAACCTAATAGATTAAAATATCAAACGCATTAATATAAATGTTATTCATAATTTAAAATTTATAATTTAAATATTTTAAATTAATTCAAATACAAATATAATCATAGTTTATCGTATACAAATATATTGAAAGTTCAAAATTCAAAAATTAAACATAATAAATTTTAATTTTCAAAAGATTAATATTTTACATCTCAATATATATACAAAATATTTATTAAATATCTCTATAAAATAGATAAGTATAAAGCATTTTAAATTTTTATAGCAAATTATTTTATATTTAATAATATTATTAATTAGTACGGATCGGATCAGATATGTCGGATAATTCGAATTCGATATCCGTATCCGATCCGTATCCGACAAATAATTCAAAATAAATATCCGTATCCGATCCGTAACCTTCGGATATCCGAATTTTCGGTTCGGATACGGTTCGAATAACAGATCGGTTCGGTTTTTCCGGATATTATATCCACCTCTAGGTGGATGATAACATTTTGTATTTATCTTTGCCTCTACGATTTAATGGATATTTTATATTTTTTTTACTGTCCCCTTGTGGTTGACAAAATGTGAAACCCCTTCTCCCAAAAACAAAACTCATAATATATTATCTAACAAATCTGTCTGAAAATAGTATTTCTTTGGTTAATTTTTATTAAATAAATACTTTTTCTGTGTGTCTCTAAGTCGTATATTCTGGTTTATTTCATCGCAACCAATATGAAAGAAAATAACCGATCCCACAAAATTTATAATTTTCCATTATATATTTTCACAAAAAAAAATTTACTGCAATTTAAAATTGAAAGTGATACAGTGACAAGAATACTTTGGCGTTAAATTAGAAATAAAATGGGGAAAAAAATAAAGGACAAAGTCATGAAATTCATCAAAGGGAGTGTCTAACTTTGCAATTCCCACAGCCTTAAGAGAAAAAAAAACTCTTAAAGGCAGCAACTTTTCCTAAATTAATTTAATAAAAAAACAAAAGATCTTAATTATGAGTCTTGGAAAAGCTAATCAGGAAATCAATTTTGATAAATGCTTTTACTTAACCAATGATTTCATTAAGATACAGAGGTATTGACAAATGTAAAAAATAAAATACATGTATATGGTATAAAATTTGACCATATTTATATGATGTTTGAAAACAATGAAATCGCATGCTGTTGAAAGATTTTTTTATTTATGGTAGAAGTTCTATAAATAGTTTAGAGACCAAATTCTAAATCTAGTAGAATGTGGTTTTTAATATTTTAGAAAATGTATTAAAAAAATAAAAAGACTTATTTATGGCTTTTTCATTTTGGAAATTATTTAAAATTCTTTAATGGGAAACTTAATCATGGATTTCAAAGTGAAAAAGTATAATTGCAGCTCATGAAAAGAAAGTTCACTCAAGAGGTTTATCAATTCAATTGTGCTTTTGCCCAAACCCTATTAAATCAAAAAGGAAAAAAAATCAATGGGATTTCTACACACACACACACACATATATATAACCCCTGAATAATCTGAATATAAAATAATTAAAAATAGCTAAAAATAAAAATTATTTTAAATGGATGTTTTTTGAAAATTTAATTTTACACAAAAACCAAGGGGAAATTCATAATAAAATGGAAAATATCCACTCTTAACCTTTATTTTATTTTTGGTATTGAACGTAAAAAAAGGAAAGTAATTTATGCAAAATACTCTTAATATGTATTTGGGTATTTGGTGTATCGAAAGTACAAATTCACAACTCCAAAGTACAAAATTAACACGATCGTTTTATTGAAAGTACAAATCCGTGACATGGGAAATCTTGATATTGTGGTGGTTGGATTGAAGACGTGACAAAGTGGGTTTGTTTTTATTTTTCAAAACAAGGGCCGGTAATGATAATTTGTTAAGTGAAAAAAGAATGATTAAAAAGAGTAATTACACAGAATTTAAAAAATTATAAAGAAAAAGGGAGTGGAAATAATAATCAGTGTTGTCAGGCCCCGTGGGATTTTTTATTATTTTTATCTTTTTTTGGGGAATGTAAACATTTAAAAAAAATGAAAACAAAAAAAATATATAGGGCCTAGTAATTTTGAAAACTCTCCACATAAATGCTGGGATTTTGTTGCCCATAACATCAACAAATCTCATATCAACAGTGAAAAAACTTGCAATTTCTTTATATATATATATATATATATATATATACAGTGTGTATAAATAGGGTATTTTATTTTTCGATTTTGTATCCATGAAAAATAGTGGACCCAAAATAAGGGTAAATAAAAATTCCTGGAAAAAGGGTCTGATAACTTGATTGCTGTAGAGGGAAAGTATCCTCAGCTTTTGGGGGAAAAGAAAAATTAAGTCCCCACTTCTTTTTTTTTTTATTCTTTAAATTGGTGTAATGATCACTGCAATATTATAATCCCTATATCCTATTTTTTAAAATTTACGGATAAAAATGAAATGAGAACCACTTTCTATTTTTGTTATAGTTTTATAAATAAAATATTAATTTATTTCTTCAATAACTACGGCATGCCGTTAAACGTAGGAGTCAACATTTTTTTTTTCTTATAATTTTTATATTTAAAATATTTAGTTTTTTAATTAGATATTGATTTGATTCAACTTCGAAGTTATTAAAATATTGATTTTTAATTCTTCTAGATCCGTAGAATTTTTAGATTGGTTTTGAGAATGTTTTAACTTGATTGTAAAAAATAGTATCCAATTGATTTTAGATTATAATTGAAATACAATTGTTATAATTATAAATATATGGTAACTAAATGTAAATTCGGGCTCAATTCAACGTGACATGGACACGGTCATTGATAATACATATGAATATATAGGCTTGCAAAAAATATCTATGCATTGTGTGAACCAAATTGTATATATTGTATGGTACATATGAAATTATGGAGCTTTGGTTGTCCTTTGAATCGGCGGCAGCATTGGATAATTACAGACATGCGTACAAAGGAAGTGTCGTCTTCTACATTCTTTTTTCATTCACGTGTCTAAATTCTCTCACCATTTTCAAATTTTTCTTTCCTTTATTTTCTTTTCACTTTTACTTTCCTTTTTGTAAAAAAAAAAAAAAAAAGACCAAACGGTCAAAATGTTTGGGCCCATCTCGCAAGTTAATTTAGTATTATGTAATTAAGGTTGTGAATAATGTGGTGAATAAAGTAGTTAAAGTCTAATAATTACAGCATGGGGTAAAGATAATCTAAGGGGAGCTGATGTTGTCATCATTTCCCATTCAGATAATTACTGCCATCACTTTTCTTTTTTATTTTATTTTTTTCAGCTTTTCCCCCCTTTGTCCTTTAGTGCTCAGTCTAATAATTTTTTCCCCATTCACGAATAAAAGTAATTATATAAATAAAGCGAGTTAAATCGTATTTACATCTCTTCCTGACACGTGTCCTTGAAATATTGGACATGTGGCAGTTTCCCCATCTTCTATAATTTCTCCCGTGATTGAAATAAATAACAAGAATTTCGGGCTTTCTAAAATGGAAGGGTATTTGCCTGAAATTCCACGCTATTGGAAGGGACATATGCGTAATTTCAACGATTCCATTTACTGACACGTCTCTGTAAAAAGGATTCACCACTCTTAGATATGAAAAAAAAAAGGCAAAGCAATTAAAAAAAAACAATTAACCGACTCGTCCCACTAAGAAGGATACAATGGTAATTCCACAAATACGAATTCGAAATAGTTTTGTTGCCACGTAATATCCGACGTGGCATGTCCGGGCCTAGTCAGCTTCACCACGGCCTCTTCAGCTTCGGCTCTTTGCTCTTATAAGAGCACCCAACCTCCCTTTACCCACACCATCCATCCACGCCAGGAAAAAAATAATTAAAAAAAATTTCAACAATTTTCTTTCTAGATTTTTCTTCTACCTTTTATTTGCCGGCGAAGTGAATCTCCCCGGAGAAATGAAATTTCCGGTGACCTTTTCCCTTGTTTCCGCTCGTAGAATCGCCGTTTCCGATCACCGTCGTCATGTGTTCCGTGAAAACCCTCGGAGCTAAGGAAACCTGATCCGTCCCTAAACAACTTTTTCCTCCGTTTTAGTATTTTTTTTCCTTCGATTAGTGTTGTGAAGATGATCGTCTGATTGCAGAAGCCGGAATAGGTTTCTTCTCGTAGTAGCTGAGAGGTTTTGGTAGATTCTGGTTTTTTCCTTCTTCTGTGGTTACGAAGCCCAGACGATGCCAATTTTGGGATTTTGATTGTTGATTTTTGTTTCTGGAGAGAGATCTGGGGCGCTTGGAGGAGATGGAGTTGTAAATGTGCACGAATTTGTGGCGTTCTTGAGGGAGTTTGAATTTTCTGTTTCGTCTTCTGTCTACCCTCTTTGAACGAGAACTGACTTGGACCAAACCGGAGAAAGAGAGAGAGAGTCGGAGAGATATTAGATCTTCTGCTCAGTTGTCTTCTTAACTGATGCCATTTCCGATGAAGATCCAGCCGATTGACATCGATTCACCGGCGGTGAGAGAGCCAGCTCGAGCGGATTCAGGCAAACCAGTGCTCAAGTCTCGCCTCAAGCGGCTGTTTGATCGGCCGTTCACAAGCGTCTTGAGGAGCTCGACCTCAGAGAAACCCATCCCTGGCGCTGTGGAAGCTCAGTACGGCCGGGATGGAGGTGCCGCAACTGAGTTCGAGCCAAGCTCCGTTTGCTTGGCGAAGATGGTGCAGAACTTCATAGAGGAAAACAACGAGAAGCAATCCAAATGTGGCCGCAACCGCTGCAATTGCTTTATCGGGAACAACGACAGGTCCGATGACGAGCTAGATCTGTTCGGCGGTTCCACCGACTCCTTTACCGGTGGATCTTCCTCCGACGCTTCCGACTACCTGAAGGTAAGCGAATTCGGTTCGTGGACCTTTCCTTTCCAATTTCTCGGAAAGCAAACATAGTTGTAACGATTCATGGCTGTGTTCCCAATCCAACAGAGCTTGATCCCTTGCGCGAGCGTCGGCGAGAGGAACCTGTTGGCAGACGCGGCGAAGATTGTCGAGAAGAACAAATCCGTCAAACGTAAAGACGATATGAGGAAGATTGTCAACGAAGGACTCTTATCACTTGGCTACGATTCCTCTATTTGCAAATCCAAATGGGAAAAATCTCCCTCTTTCCCTGCCGGTAAGATCTCCACAACCATCATCACCTACGTGTCTTCTCGTCTATTCCTTATGACTTAGCTAAATCTTTTGAAAACTCCAGGCGAGTACGAGTACATAGATGTGATTGTGGAAGGTGAACGGTTGCTAATCGACGTTGATTTCCGATCGGAGTTCGAGATCGCCCGGCAGACCGGCGCCTACAAAGCCGTGCTTCAATGTCTACCTTTCATCTTCGCCGGAAAACCAGACCGCCTCGGCCAGATCGTTTCGATCGTCTCGGAGGCAGCGAAGCAAAGCTTGAAGAAGAAGGGCATGCATTTCCCTCCGTGGAGGAAAGCCGAGTACATGCGAGCCAAATGGCTCTCCTCTTACACACGCGCCTCCGTCTCCACCGAGGAGCCGCCGTCTGCGGCCGCGGAGGAGAAGACTCCGGAGCAAGATTCTCCGGCGGAGCTCGAGCTGATATTCGGCGGGAAACCGGTGTCTCCGGGGTTGAATTCCTCTTCCTCTCCTCTTCAGCCGTTGGTTTTTGGCGATTGTGACGGCGATGATGACGCGGCGTGGCAACCTCCGCCGCCGCGAGCGGTGGAGGGAGAAGCGAAGGCCGTCACCGGATTGGCCTCACTGTTCAAGGAAAAACCCTAAGGAAATTTTGGATTTCTTTTTTCTTAAAAATTTTCCCCCTAATTTCCCAAATCGAGGAAAAAAATATATAATCGGATAACATTAGGATATATCCTTCCTTTGTCTTTTACCTTCTCTTTTTTTATCCCCTTGTTTTTTTCTATGCAAGGGTCACTACTTTTCACGATGTAGTAAAAAATAAAAGAAAAAATGTTATTACCATAGTAAAAAAAATTTTTAAAAAAAAGGAATAATAAAATGTTATTATCTCTGGGATTTAGTACTTAGGAAACCCAAAAGCACCTGAGAAACAGTGCAGTGAATATTGTCTTATTATATTAATCCTCCAAAATTTAAAAAAAAAAACTATCTTCTTTTCACTGCAACTTTTTTATTAAATAGAGGTTGGAGCATATGGGAGCAAAGGAGCATTACGAGTCACTTTAATTTCTCACCTTTTCATAAGCATTTGCAAAGTAATAAATTTTTTTATTTTATGGTGTTAATATAATGCTTGGTACACGCATTTTTTTTATTTTAATTTGTATTTATTTTATTTTATGACGACATCATTTTTGAGAGAGAGAGAGAAGCTCGTGGCGTCTCGATAGCCGTGGAATGCCAGAGGCCAGTGCTGTTTCATTAGAACAGCGTGATATATTATTCTCTTTTCTGATTTTTTTTTATTTATTTATTTATTTTTCCCAATTTATTTAAACTCCGAAATGAGCCAAAATTATTATCCCGTATTATATTGTCCATGTGATAATGCTAATCCTCTACATGAACTAACAAGCAATTATAATTAAAATTAAAATTGCTATTTTCTTTTAGTATTTCAAAATCACTTATGTATATGACATGTTTTTTTTTGTACAAACGGCGTATGACTCGGTCCATATGACCAAACATGTAATATAATATATGGAATAAAAATAGTATTATTATTATACACATATATGTACGCATTATTTATGTAATAAATTGATCATATGGTTTCCAATTTTCTTCAGCAGTGTTGGATGACTTGGTCCGTTCTACCCAATTTGCAGCGACGTCTTTGATTCTCTACAATCAATATAAATATAAACATATATTTTAATACTCGCATAATAGAATTATGATGACAAATTAACGATAAATAAAAACCAGAATAATTTGTAATAAATATAACCATTTATTTAGGAACTTAAATCAAATAGAACAATAAAAAATATTTATAGAAAACAAAAATACAACAAAGAACATTGAAATTAAAATTATATAGACTACAAAAATTTTAAAACGTCTAAATACCTAGAACTTTGAAATAGCTAGATCAAGAAAAAAAATATTTATTTGATATATATCGAAATTTTCACACATCCAAATAAGCATTTTAAATAATTCGATTATTTTTTTTACCACATATTCAAAAAAAAACATACAAATTATTTTAAAATTATTTCGGCAGATGTCAAAAATAAAAATCATGATAATCAAACATAATAGCATTCATCGAGATTCATGTATTAGTGCTTGAAACACGTGTAAGATATGCATAAACGGTTCATCTTTATTTTTGCTATTTTTTTTTTTAATGATTTCATTCTTTTTTCAAGGGAAATAAAAATCGAACATAATAAATTATATGACCTAACCTTTCATGTGAAATTTGAAAAACATTTTAATTTCGCATTGCCCAAAATAGCTGAATGCATTACAAATTTATTACAACATAATTCATGGTCAACGTTAATTTAATACTCCTTTTTCTTGGAACTAAGAAGAGATCCGGAATTGGATCAGGGATGGTCAACGTTTATACTTTTGCACAATTAGTATTTTCAGTTATATTTATTTAATTTATAACAATTTAACATCTCGTGTAAATTATCGAATATATATTGTAGAATAAATTCAACCTCGTATTTTTTTAAAATATTCACATAAAGGCCTTGGTCTACTCTATTTATTTGTAGTGTGAAACAATGAGGACCCCGTTTAACCCTAAGCCACATATCAATAATCATATCGCTTTATTATTTACTATTTGCTACATTAAAATCAAACCATACTATTACAATTTTTGTTATATAAAATTTATAAATTGTTTATAGAAATATCTTTACTAATTTAACTACTATACTTATTTTATTTAAAAACACAATAATTTTTTTTTTCAAGTTGTTCGAGGCAAATGTAGGATATTTTTTAACTTATGTATAAAAATTAATTATTTGATTTATTTGGTTAGATTTAAATTGTGCGTGTATTGCTTATTTTGTTATTTATTGTTACTAGCAATTGTACTTGACAACTATGGTCCGTGACACCATTTAAAAATGGACAGATGAAATTCAATTATTCAAGCAACAATTTTTTTTTTCTCCTTTGAGGAGAAAGCCGATCCATCTTTTTACATAGACCTAACTGTTTTCCAAATATATACATATAATTAAATATATTTTTCATTTAGCATATATCTATATGTATGTATCGCAATCATTGATTGTGGGGGCACTTGTATTCATATAATAAAATTTCATATATATATATATATATATATAATTATATTAAATAATAGCAATAATGTTGGGTTGCATGAAGTGGGTAGGGTCGGTTACAATAATTTCCGAAGGTGTGGGGTAACCTTTCCTTTTTATTCAAAAACTTAACCATCTACCTTTTTTTTTATTTTGGATTTGACATTATTTCCATGGGAAGTAAAAGTATATTATATTATTTACCATTATTAATTTACAATTATATTATTATATCCAAATATTTCACTTGTTAACCACAATTCAAACATTAATAAACCATGTCTAAGAATTAGGCTATTTAGGAAAGCTCCTCTTCACCCACTCTTTTGAATAAGTTTGGATATTGAATTGCCCGTGGCCAAATAATATGCTTATTTTATCAATGATTAAATTATTTTACAACCAAATTGCAATTTTTTTTATTATTATATATGTGAAGCCCCACATGAAATGAACGTTGGGGTAATTTTATTTACAAGGTTATCCATAAAATTATATGATATAGTCATATAGACAAAGATGTATCATTTTTATATGGTAAACATAATCATTAAACATATTGAAAACCACTTTTTAATGTTGAATTGGATGTTTCTTTTATACAATATTTAAACATATTAGATCCCCCAAATGAACAAAATTTGTAAAAAAAAATACACTAAAAAATTGATAACCCCACAACATTTGTTTCATGATTTCACATTATTAGTTTAATTCATTTAATCTGAACCGTCCATTTTGGTTAAAATGTGTCATTTATGATATGATTTAAAATTATATTATATTGATACAAACAATGGGTTATATATATATATATATAATATTCTATAGAAATTATTAGGTAAACTATAAACAACTACTCACATTATTTAATAATGGGTTTTTACAAACTTATTTCTCTTATTTCACACGAATTATTATATTGATGGATTCAAAATGGATAGAAGTTCCATCTCATGCACACATCCACATGTGATCATAATCATACTACAACTTGCTCTTGAAAAAGTGTGAAATTACAATAGAAAATACGTGAAATGTTATAAAAAGATGACGATGACGATGATACATACATATATATATATATATATATATATATGTTATATGGTTGGATGGATCGTCAAAATAACACAACGCACACGGATAATATGTGAGTTCGAGGGCTTTTTCAAATACTTATCCATTTTGCGACTTCGTCTTATCTTGGAATATTAGGTTACATGTGCAGGTGGTCCTCTTTTCTTTTCTTTTTTTATTTCCTAATAATTACATTTTATCATTTTTTTTAATTTTTTTACGTTTTTCTTTATTATTTAAATATAAGTGACCTATGAATTCATAGTACTGAATTCATTAAGTTGATCCACTCGCAGTGGGACGGCCTCTGTACTGTTCATCACCATTTTTCTTTTTAAAGTTTTTATTTTTAATTAGAAAACATTATATTGTTGAATGACCACAAAATAAATATATAAAATTTTATGGAGATTTTTTATTTGTAGATAAAACCGAAAGTTTAAGGTGCACGTCAAATTGTAAACATGATGGCAAAAAATAAAATAAAATTGGATCACAGAAATAACAAATATTTATCGGTGTATTAGGATAAGAACGAAGTATTATTGAACAATAAATAAAGAAATAATGCCCTTTTGTCGTTTTGTAACTCTGCATATATTAAATAATTGAAGAAATTCTGAATAATTTATTATCTTGTAATGATTCAGATGAATACACACATATATATGTATAATTGTTGCTTTGGGAAGCATCGAAGTCCCACATTTCCATTTAATTCAACTTAAAAGCAGACCTGTCTGATGGGAAGTCTAGTTTTTAATTTTATGCAATATCAGTAGGGGTGTCAAACGAGCCAGCTCGGATCATTTTGGGCTCGGCTCATTTGGCTCGGATCGTTTTGGGCTCAGCTCGTTAGGTTCGTTTTCTAACGAGCCAGAAAAACCTCGGCTCAGATCGCTCGCCAGTTTTCCGATCTGAACGAACCGACTCGTTGAGCCAATGATATATAATATTTTTTATTTATATTTATTTTAAATATAATTATAAATTTAAATAAATACATAAAAATTTAATAAAACACCAATATCATTTAATATTTTCAATTATCACCATCATAATAATTAGTATATTTATAATATCGAATAAATGATATAAAAAAAATTAATATAAAATTATATTAGAATTTTTTTATATAAATTTAATTTATTTTATAAAAAAATATCAACTCGTTGAGCAGCTCGCCAACTCGCCGAGCCAGCTCGTCGAGCCAGACTCATTGAACACGTGTTCAATGAGCTCTGGCTCGTTAGACTCGTTTTTTAACGAGTTGAAAAAATTACGGTTCAGATCGCTTGTTTTCTGGCGAACCACGAGCCAGCTCGCGAGCCGGACTCGTTTTGACACCCCTTACATATCAGACAGCTTGCAGGCGATTATTAATACCCATCAAAACAGAAAAAGGAAATTAAAAAAAAATGTGAAATAAATAACAAAAACGCATAATTAAATTAAAAGAGTGTGAATACTGAGTTAAAAACACAGGAAACCCAGACAAATTGCATAATATGCAAAAAAAAAAAAACGAAAAAAAGAAAACGAAAACAGAATTCAAAAATTCAATTTGGTATACCTCACTCGTCTCAAACGTGAACCGGTCCGGTTAACAATACAAAATGGGTCTCAAAGGCCCATTTTAAGGCCCATTGACTTCAAAACTTTCCCTCATTAAACTACAAATGGGCCTAAGCTCGTCAACACTGCCCAAATTGGAAATGAATTTTTTTTTTTTGTGAAAAAAAACGATTCAAACTTTACGAGCCAAGGTCCGCTGCTTGGTAGCGTGTTGAACCACCTTCTCCTCCACGTGAAGCCCTTTCCTCCGCCTCACGCCATTGATGAGCTTCCTGGCCGTGTTGGGAAGAACACTGGCTCCATCCCCAAACTCTTCGAGCTCTTCTTCGGTCTTCGGCACGAAGAACGGATCCTCCTGAATCATTTCCCAGTGGCTCAGAACCATGAGCGCACTCGCAGCCCCTGACGTTCCCTTTCGCAGCTCGTCCGCAAACCCAAAGCTCTCCGAGACCGGCACGTAGGCATGGACCGTGAAAAGCGGCGACCCTTCTTGCATCTCTTCCTTGAGAACCCTGGCCCGTCTCCGGCTGAGAACCGCGTACATTGGGCCGAGATACTCTGGCGGGGTGTTCAGTTCGCAGAAGTACATGGCTTCGACCAGACGTGGTTGTTTCTGGAGCAATGCAGCTCGGCAGGCGTCTTTCACCGCCGTCATGACTTGTCCCGTGAATATCCCGAAGTTTTCTGGTTGCGGGTTTGCTTCAGATTCTTCGGTGAGTGGAGGAGAAGAAACCTGTGCTTGAATGGTGAACCCTAATCCCCACATGGCTTCGTCGCATAACGGTCCGGATGCTGTCGCTAGCTGAAACCCAGATACGATACTGCTCTCGAGTGACTGTGCTTCTCTGTACAGTGTCCGTGTCTTCTCTAATGGTGCCTCAGATGCCAGGATAGTCTCTTCTACAAACCCTAGCCTCTGAGAAACATGAGGAGAACCTCTCACGACAATGGATTCCTCTGTGTCGGTGGCAGTTCGTTTGCTGTCGGGAGTGAAGAGGATGTTAGGTCCTATTTGTCTTGGCCCAAGTGCCCAAATCCTCTCGAGCAGCTTCTTCCATTCAGCTTTACATTTCTCGGACAGATCCTTGTCCATCTCAGCAGCATCAGACGAGATGTCGTTATCAATGGCTTCCATTAACAGTTTCTTGAAAGCTTCAACCGGATCCATGTCATCTCCGGTGCTCAGAGTTTGTGGCCCGTCTATTATCTTAACACTCTGACCACCCTTTCCTCCGATTATGTCTCCGATCAATTCAGAATTCTCGTCAAGAACCTTAGTTAGACCCGGAGGCAGTTTCATGACTCGTACTTGGATAATGCATCTACCGTTTGGAGTTACCTTCTCAGCAAAATCCGAGCTTAAACTGAGCGATTTCAAGCTTTCCGATAGATTGTATCCGTTCCCCTCTATAGTCTCCCTGTAGGATACGAGAGGCGGTGACACTTCAAGGTTCACTTTCGCAAACCTTTCCTTCAAATCCTTTACGCATCTTTCTAGATGAACTTCCCCAGCGGCGGCAAGAACGTGTTCTCCTCTGGAAGATACCGTTACCTCCACAAAAGGGTCAGCTCGGTTCGAGCAGCCATATCTGCCGGATCAGAAGGTTCTATCGCTACTCGTAGGGTGGGAGAAACTTGAAACTCCATGCTTGAGAAAGGCCAACAGTTTCGAGTTGAAGAAATTGTTGCAGATTTTGATATATATGGCCCGAGCCCTCTGATGGCCACAATATTCCCTGCCTTTGCCTCTGTAACCGGTTTCAAACCTTGGCCCATCATTAGATATAGGGACTGAAGTTCCGCTTCTTGAACGTATTTCTGAGATAACTCGCCTTTGAGAGGATCATATAACGCTGAAAGCACAAAGACCCGCTGTCCTGCAGAGAGAACACCACTGAAGACCCTCACAAATGCAAGGAAGCACTCATCCGACTCGATTTTAGTATCTTCATCGTTCAAACCGCTCGATATCTCCCTGTGGTTTGCAGTTTGAGGAATCATTTTCATCGGGACAGCAAACATTTTAGATACAAATGCAACGCAAGGGGCTTCACACCTAGAATCACAACCCTCTACTGATTTTCTAACACGTTCCGCCTCTTCAAGGATGTCAGAATCAACATCGCCGCCGATAATCTGTCTTTTCGGGACCAACCGAGAAATTCTATACGATTGGGCGGCAATGGGATCTGGCAGATGCTTGACCACCATAGACAGGACAGCATCAGACATAGGAAGCCAACGGCTCATGACTGATTGAAGCACGTTTTTCGGATCCTTGTTCTGAAGTTCACGAGGTGGTATGGACAAATTAAAGGACTTTATAACTTTCTCAAGCATGGCTCGGTCCCCATCTGGCTCGAGAGCAGCCTGGTACACCTGCCACAACGGTTCAAGCACAAACTGCACGAACATCGGTCTTGCTTTGCTTCCGGCACTTAAACCTTTCTTCCCTACAATCATCTTGGACTTCGGAAGATAATAACGTGGACCCCACAAAGATCTCTGCAATGCAGCAGCACTAGCACCGAGCTTGGAAGCGTAAAAATCTGCAAACTCATGAATGCTGAAACCCCAGCCGTCTAATGCACAAACAAACACCACATTACCCTTCTGAGGCTGAAAAGTATCTTCTTCATCATCTTCCAACAACTCGAGATTCTCATCAGTCAGCTCACCCGAAGGACCAGCAAGTATAGAATCGACATCCGACAGATACTTCTCTGCCTTATACGCACTCACTATCCCATTAACCTCGTGAACGATCCTCAACAAACGGGTATATGCCTCCATCGGGCTCAATCTCAACTCGCAAATCAACCGATCAATTTTGTTAAGAACCAAACAAGGGGTCAGCCTCTCAATCCAAGCTTGACGCAACACAGCATGTGTCTGAATGTGAACGCCCTCGACGGCATCGACCAAAACCAATGCCCCATCGCTGAGTCGGGCAGCTGTAGAGACCTCACTACAGAAGTCCATATGGCCTGGGGAGTCTATCAAGTTAATGAAGTAGTCCTTGTAATGGAGAGCAATAGAAGAGCTCTTCATCGTGATGGCCCGTCTCTGTTCTTCATCGAGATAATCCATATACCGAAGCTTACCGGCTAATTTCGGATGAATCACACCGCCACCCGAGGCAGCAATAAGGTGATCAGCGAGTGTTGTCTTACCATGATCAACATGTGCCAAGATACATATGTTCCTAAGTTTCGTAGTATCAGAGTCATGCATCGTTCCTTCCTAAAAGAAGAACAGTTCAAATTCGCCTAAAATTGACTGCACCGCTCGATTCAGACCCACAAAGCCAAATCAAACAAACCCTTTAAAGGAAATCGAATCCAATTGAATATACGTGTCAAGACCAAAACTTCGACCTCGAATTAGGTAAACCAGAGGGGTGGGAAGATGATACCGAAACGAAAAAGAAGGGAAACCCAACTCCAAAACCCTAATAAAGCTTCCAAATTAGGAGAAGAAACCTGCTTCGGTGGCTGTTTCAGTGTAGAGAAACGCAACAAAGCAGCGGCGGATTGGTCGTGTCTGCTTCGGCGGCTGTGTGGAGAGACGCAACAGAGGCATAGGAGGATTTGTTCGGGTTCTTCACTCAAATGACCCAGATGGGTCGCATGAATTTCACCTGTACACCAGAAAAAATATAACACATTTTTTTCTCCGTAAAAAGACGAAATTACCCTTAATGAATCACGATATTTATCCGTTCGAAAACAACTTCGTTATTACGACTTCGTAATTAATTCTAAATATAGTTACAAAAAGGTGGCAAAATAAATCATACCTCTTATTTTAGTTGTATATCAGTTATATGTTAGTCGCAAAAAGGTCGTAAAAAATAAAACGAAAAGGGTATTTTGGACTTTTTCACCCGAAAAGTGGGTTAAAATTGAAAAAAAAAAATTTTTTTTTTGGAAGTGGTGTATCCTGAAATTGGTGTGAAACAAGTAGGTTATTTGGGTAATTTTCCCGATTTGTTCTGCGGTTTCTTTAGAGACGCCTCTGTACGATTTCGGGTCAGACTCCTTTTATAGTGTACTTCGTGAACAATATAAAAAAAAAAGGTAACCTTCTGAATCGTTTGGAAGGTTTTATGTGGCCAAGGCCCAGAACCGCGGAGGATCCTCCTGAAATTGGTGTGAAACAAGTAGGTTATTTGGGTAATTTTCCCGATTTGTTCTGCGGTTTCTTTAGAGACGCCTCTGTACGATTTCGGGTCAGACTCCTTTTATAGTGTACTTCGTGAACAATATAAAAAAAAAAGGTAACCTTCTGAATCGTTTGGAAGGTTTTATGTGGCCAAGGCCCAGAACCGCGGAGGATCCGACCCGCCTCGGATTCAAATTAAAATTCGCACCACATCTGGGCCGGGTCAAAATATGTGCCCTAATTGATTCCAATTTCACCCAAATCAGAGGCGGGAGCGAAAGAGAGAAACACAGAGAGAGAGAGATGCAGAAAAGGGAGCAGGCAAAATCCGGCGGTCAGTCCGGCGGAGGTTCAGCGCCACCGCCGAAGAGAGGCCGTCCTTTTGGAAGCACCGCCGCAAATTCAGCCGCAGCAGCAGCGGGCGATGGTTCCCTCGGCGTTCCTCGGGCCTTCGCTTCTAGTTCACAATTCTTTTGTCGGTAAGTGGGAACAAAATCGTATCCTTTATCTTCGTTGCACCTCCATTTCGTTCAGATGCTCGCGTAGTTTCGAGCTCGAGATCTTTTTATTGGTTTAATTTGTCATTGGAACGAGGACTGAAAGTCAATAAACACTTCGTACTATGATTAAATCTGTCTGAGTCGTGTAATGTTTGATCTCTGGAGCCGTTCTCTCTCTCCCTCTCTCTCTCTCTTGCAGTTGTTGAAACGAGTTTAGTGGCACTGAGCTAAAGCTCACTGTTTTGTGTATCCCTGAGGTCGTGTTTCAATCGTACAATGAGTTTTAGTTACTAAAAGAGTAATATAGGAACAAAAATCTGATGTCTTAAGCATATTGTATCTTCCCGGCTAGTGACCGATAAGATGGAAAAGGATGTTTTTTGTTACCTTGGAATGCTTTTCATCTCATTCTGTAGTCTATTGGATACTGACATTACCAAATTTCTTTGTGTTTATGGTGGAATATATAGACCAGAACAACAAAAGAATAGTCCTTGCGCTTCAGAGTGGGTTAAAGAGCGAGGTTACATGGGCGCTGAATACTCTCAACTTGCTGTCCTTCAAGGAGAAGGAAGATTTCCGAAAAGATTCCACGCCTCTTGCGAAAATACCAGGCTTGCTCGATGCGCTTCTGCAAATCGTGGGTTTGATTCTTTGGTTTTACATCCTGTGTGAAACTTCACGGGTTTGAATGTTCATCTCACTATTCCTTGTATGCTTTTATCTATTCTGTCTCCGAATTCATATCGCTGAATGTTGCAGATTGATGATTGGCGTGACATAGCACTCCCAAAGGAGCTGACCAGAGGACCGAGAATGAGGTCATTAGGTGTGAATTCTTCTGTTACCGGATTCGGCAGCGAGTATGATGCTCTTGCCGTTAATCAATCTCCCCAACCTCCAGGGTATAGCTCATGAGATGATTTCCTTGGGGTGATGCTGAATATAGTTTTTACGGTTTTAAACCTGAAAAATACCGCATGGTTTTGGATAGCAGGTCAGGCACGGTTTCAGAGACGTCGAGGAAAAAGAACTCAACAACAGATCAATCTTCTCAGTGGTGGTTGGAGGAGGATGGTTTATTCAATCTAGATGACGAGGGGAGAGCCGAGAGACAGATGTGCGCTGTTGCTGTGTCAAATGTTATACGTAACTTCTCCTTCATGCCAGATAACGAGGTTTTAATGGCGCAGCATCGCCATTGCTTGGAAACCGTTTTCCAGTGCATACAAGATCATGCAACTGGTGAATCTTAACATACTCCGGTCTTCTTGCGGGCTGATTTCAAAGTTCATGCATTTTCTCTGTTATCGTTATCGGGAACTATTGCTAAGAGAAGTAGTTGTAACAGAGGATGAGGAACTGGTCACAAATGCGCTCGAGACGATCGTGAACCTTGCCCATTTGATGGATCTTCGAATCTTCAGCTCGCATAAGCAATCTTACATCAAAATATCGTACGTTTTGAATTTCTCGCCTTCTCCAATGAATCATTTCTTATGTTTCTGAAGATGACATGACTCGTTATGTTTCTGATGTTCAGCGAAATGCAAGCGGTTCAAGCCGTGGTGGGAATATTAGATTCTCCCGTCAAGGCCTGGCACTGCGCAGCAGCTGAAATGCTGGGCCGCCTGATCATAAACCCGGACAATGAACCTTTCCTTCTCCCCCTTATCCCGCAGGTTTTATTCTCTTCTCTTAATCTTTCATACCGATATATCAAACTCGCTCAAGTACTGAAAACCCCGAGTATGAATCATTCAGATACACAAGCGATTAGTCGATCTCTTGAGCATACCAGCCATTGATGCGCAAGCCGTAGCTGTTGGTGCTCTCTACAACCTTGTAGAGGTCAACATGGATTCCAGACTAAAGCTTGCTAGTGAGAGATGGTAAAAAACGCCCTTCCTCTTTGTTTCGTTATTTCGAGGAATAGTCATTGCACCAATAACCCAATGAACTTATATCTCGTTCAGGGCGATTGATCGATTACTGAAGGTGATAAAGACTCCTCATCCGGTTCCAGAAGTCTGCAGGAAAGCTGCTATGATACTGGAGAATCTTGCCTCGGAGCCGCAGAACAGAGCATCATTACTTGCATATGAAAATGCTTTTGCAGAACTTCTCTTCCAAGATGGAAGATACTCTGATTCATTTGCCAGGATTTTGTGTGAGCTGACCGCTAGATCGAACAACAGAGTGGCTTCGGCCCGTGGAATCTGGGGCATGTAGTGTCCGAATTAGGGTTCTTGAGGTTGTAATGGATCTGAAACAGTGTTGCAACTCATCTCTTTATATGTAAAAGCACAATCTGTGTCCAGGGTTTGGACAAGGCTGACAGCCTTTTTTTCTTTATCATTATTGCTCTCAAAGAGCTATATGTTATATGATATTACAGGGAAGAAACCAAACCAGTGTAACAGAAAAGATTCCATAAGCACAACATTTTGCCACATTCTGCAAATACTGCTAAGGTTCGGGTAGAAACCCGATTTATCCGATGTTTCTCTTGCGGGCGAGTTCTCGGGCCGCCTCTCTCAACTCCTCGGGGGAAGGAGGTCGGTCTGCGTTTTCCGGGTAGACGACATATGAATGCTGCAAACAAAAACAACACTCGGGTCTCGGGTTAGTTAGTTAACCTCGTACACAAAAGGGAAACGGTTCAAAAATCACAATCTTTTGCACTACAGAAAGCTTTGATTTTAATGCACCATTTGCATTGTAACATAAGATCAGATGCTATTCAAAAAGGATTGAAAAAACCTATAATTGTTGTTATTCTAAACTTTTGTATTTGTATGCCTAAGTAAATAAGGCGTAGATATGGATGAAGACAGTTATCTCCAAGTAATTCTTAATCTTCTGTGTTGGATAACAAAGAACTCAGAAAAAAAAAACACAAAATTCCAAAGCGATTCATCGAGATTAAAAATCAAACACCCTAATGAAATTGCATCACTATACCGCCGACAAAAAGCTGGGGATTTCGAAGAAACTCAGTGAGAACATGAATCGAAGCAACTAACGAAGAATTCCGAATAGCAAAAGGAGAGAGAGAGAGAGAGATTACATTTCCCATGAACTTTTTGATGTTGGAGCTGTTGTTGGCGAAAGTGTACATGAGGAAGATAGGAACGGCGACGTAGACGCCGAACTTAGCGATCTCCAGAATCCCCTTCGATGTCCCCAGAGACGACATTTTTTCTCCTGATAAGATTTCGCTTTGGACCAAAACCGATCAAATCAGAAATTTAGGGTTCTTGATTGGATTTTCTTTTTCAATTTGGGGGGGGGGGGGGGG